CTCTTCTAAAGATCGGGCGACGATTGCCGAGTTGGTGACCGAAATGAAAGCGTGCGGCATAGTCACGGAAACACAAAGCCCATACGCATCACCAGTGCTACTAGTGCGAAAAAAGAACGGAGAGCCAAGGTTGGTGGTGGATTACCGAAGGCTGAACAAACAGACCGTGAAAGTGAATTTCCCCGTACCTGAACTGGATGAACAGTTCCAGTACTTGAGTGGCGGGAAAGTGTTCTGGATCTCGCGAATGGATATATGCAAGTTCCCCTATCGAGAGAATTGAGACCTAAAACGGCATTTTTCTACCGCCCACGTTTTTTGGTTTTCTAATAGAGCTATTAACGCACGCAAATGACGTCACAGCAGTTCGTTAATAGCGGAAAAGCGTTCTTTAATAGATCTGGTGTAATTTAGATCGGTAAGATTGGTAGCAATGACGAGAAATGTCAGGTGAATGTCAGTGGCAAATCTCAACTTAAAATTTCCCATGTTTCCGGACGCGTAACTTCTTCGCAAGACATTTTAACCAATTTTAAATTACAAAAACTCGAATTGATTCGAATTACAGTTGTTGTTGTGAAAATTCGAACCTCAAATATTTCGTGGTTAGTGTCAGACCAACCCATCACCAACCACGACAAAAGTCCCCAGATTAAAAAAAATGCAAATTTCAATTAAATTTTGGGAAAAAACGTGTGCGGTAGAAAAAATAGTATAAATAACTCGTTCATAAGGCCATTGAGGCACTCATCCTTTATATAACTCGCGGCTTCGCCGCTCGTTCTATAAACCTGGATTCGTGCCTCAATATTTGCCTTATGAAACTCGTTCTTTAATATACTATTATAACCCCGGACCCCACTGGCGAATTCACAAGGATGGTGTTTGGGCTAACTAATGCGCCCTATGAATTCGTCCGATTAATGAATCTGGTGTTAGGGCCCCTGCGAAACCAAATATGCTGCTGCTACCTAGATGATGTCATTGTTCCTGCGGTCTTAGAAGAAGAACTACTGCGAAGGCTGAAGTTAATTTTTATGTGTTTTCGGGAGGGCAAACTGACATTAAATCTGGGCAAGTGCGAGTTCGGAAAGGGGGAAATAGAATATCTGGGGTTCACAGTGGGGGAGGGAGGAATGAGACCGAGAAAAAGGAAAATCAAAGCTATCGAAGACTTCCCGCGGCCGTCCAACGTTCACGAAGTGAGAAGATTTGTGGGGTTGGCGAGTTTTTTCAGACGGTTCGTAAAAAACTTTGCGGTGATCGCGAAACCGCTAACGGACTTAACAAAAGAAAATACGCCGTTTCTTTTTGACAATTCGTGTGTGAGTGCTTTCGTGAAGTTGAAGCAGTGTTTGACGAACGCCCCGATTTTGAAACTATTCGACCCTACCGCGCCGACCGAGTTACATACGGACGCGAGTGCTGTGGGAATAGCTGGACTGTTATTACAAAAGGACGAATCGGGAAGACTGCGACTTGTGTATTGTGTTTCTAAAAAGACAAGTGAAGCGGAGAGCAAGTACCACTCGTCGCGGTTAGAACTTTTGGCAATAGTGTGGAAAGGTTAAGGGGGTATTTAATCGGTATTACGTTTAGAGTAGTGACAGACTGTCAGGCAATTGTGTATTTGAATGCCAAGAAAAACATCAATCCGCAGGTGGCAAGATGGTTTACAGTATTGCAAGAATATGAGTACGAACTAATCCACAGGAAGGGGGAGAAGATGGCACATGTGGACGCGTTAAGCCGGGCTCCGGAGCGACAAGAAAACTGTGTTGAAGAAGAAATCGAAGATACCATCATTGAGAGTCGCATGAGGGTGTTAAACATCGCAGAAACTGATGCCCTTGTAGCGATTCAGCGCAGCGATAGCAGACTTCGTCGCCTCATCCACATTTTGCAGAAAGGCCAAGCTGACCGCACAAAAGAAGAGGCAGACGCGGTTAAAAATTACAAGTTAGTACAGAATCGATTGGTGGTCCAGCTGGAAGTGGAGGGGGGCACTGGCCTGCTGTCAGTTATCCCGGATTCCATGAGGAAAAGTATGGTGAATGCGCCTTATGTACGTCGACACATCGCCAGCTGCTTGGAATGTCTGTTGAACAAAACACCCGGAGGAAAACGACCAGGAATGCTACACCCCATCTCAGCACCTAAGAGGCCGTTTGAAAGAGTCCACGTGGATAATTTAGGTCCGTTTGTCAAAACTTCAAGCGGCTGTGAGCATGTCATGGTGGTCATTGATGTGTTCTCGAGATTTGTGGTACTGTTTGCTCTGAAAGCGACGACATCGAGGTCAGTGGTGTCAAAATTACAGGCCTTGTTTCAGCAATTTGGGGTATGTGAAGTGGTGGTGTGCGACCGGGGAACCTGTTTTACGTCGCGCAAGTTTAAAGGGTTCTGCAGTGAAAGAGGAGTGAGGGTTATATACAATTCACCGAGGCATCCCCAGGGTAATGGCATGGTGGAAAGAGTAAATCGCACCATTCTACCGGTCATTAAGGCAGAGATGCAAAATGAGCGGAGCTGGGACAAATGCTTGCCCAAGGTCCAGTTCAATTTGAATGCAGCGGTGAACAAGACAACAAGAAAAAGCCCGTTCCGTGTCCTGTATGGGTATCAACCAACGTTGCAAAACGCCTTAGTCGTAAAGGCACTTGGGGCGTCAGAGTGGCAAGCACCGCAGGAATCACACGAAGAAATTCGTGCCAACATCCAAGATGGTCAGCAGCGCTATAAGTACCAATTCGATAAAAGGCGGTATGCAGGAGTAGTGTATGATGTGGGGGAAATTGTGGCTATTCGGAGTGCTCCTCAACACACCGGGCAGAGTACCAAACGACAAGACAAATATAAAGGGCCGTATGTAATTGTGGAAACGCTACCAGCGGACACGTACCGCATCGAAAAGCTAATACAACCAAGTGAGCGCAAGCAGGTGACCACGGCCCACGTATCCCAACTAAAGGGGTATTATAATCACGAGGAAACAGAGGACGAGGAAGAGGAGGAGGAAAACGAAGAAGGAGGTGAAGGGAGTGAAAGTGCGGGAGTGTTTGAAAAAGCAGAGTACCCTAGTGAGTTAAGTGACGAAAGCGAAACAATAATAGAACAGAGTGGTCCAACTGAGCAAGCAAGGCCACAGAGGAATAGAAGAACCCCCAACAAATTTCAAGACTTTATCACCGACCTGTGAACTGATTTTCTCTTTCAGGAAGTATTTACAATTAATTGAATTCTAGGTTTTTAGTGTAAAAGACGTGTAGGTGGCTAGGTGGTGGTTGTAGAAGTCAATTATTATTATAGTTGGTTGACTTTCGTATGTAGTAGGGTTAGTGTACCGCTGGTTCATTTATTTTTTTGTAAGGTTAGGGCGTAACAAATTTGTAGATTGGGGTTGTGGAACTCAATATTTATAGATAATTGTGTGTAGTTAGACTAAATTTAAATTAGTTGATTTTTTTTTAGAGTGCGAAGTAGTTTGTGGTTGTGGAGTTAGATATATATTTTTTTTGTTTTTGTGGATGGATTGTAGGCAGATATGAGTGTTTGTGCTTAATATTTTCTTTAATGTTTTTTTTTTGTTATTTGTTTTGTTTCTCCTTGAGAATTGTATCGAGGACGATTCAAGGTCAGGATGGTCGAATGTAAGGGTTAGATTTGTAGTGACCCGTAGGCAGGCAACCCATAATACGCGATGTAAGGGTTAGACCTGTTATGTCGTTGACCTGTAGGTAGGCAACCCATAATTGAGGGAGAATCTGGGTAAGCCAACAGGGTGGGGGTGACGCTAAGGGTGAGCAAGGGGATTTTAGGGGAGTTCGCGGGTAGGAACCACCGAGGGTAGTACGTAGAGTGCGTAGAGATAGATAGGAGAGTGAATTAAGTGTATTAGTGATTAGGGTGTATTTGTGAAGTAGTTGAATAAAGTATGGTTAGCGTAATCTGAGTGTGTGATTTAAATAAAACGTGTTTTTACATTTACCTCAAAAACTATCAGAAACCTTGCCCTTAAAACTTCCAGCAAACACAAAATCGCAACTTAATTGATGACGGATGACTAATTAGCTGACAGAAAGTTAACTAAGGTTTGACATGATGTTAACTTTGACGATAGCTTTATACAACCCAAATCCTGAGTTAACACAGGTTTGAGTTTGACATATTGTTCGTTAACACTCTGTTAACTGATTGTCAACTGCTTTATACAACACTTAACATTAGCAAACGAATTTAACATTGGTTTAACAAGTTGTTAAAGTTGACAAAGGCTTTATACAACCGGGCCTTTAAATGTATTTCTTAAATACCTATACACCCTTGGATTTATACTGCGTAAAGAAATTGCTTACGTTATATCATCTGGCGACCAGCAGACGCGTCTATTAGTTTTTATACGACGTATTTGACCAGGTGTAAATTTTGTTGTTTCTGATGTTATTATTTGATAACCACCAGCAGAAAAACCCCTTTTATTCGGAGAAATGGGTGTTTTTATTGTTGGAATTGCTGTTGATAATAATTTCCTTCTATTTTTCGGACTATAGCCAAATACTAGCTTTTGCATTGGCTTGTGAAGGTATTTTGTCCTCAAAATGAAAAGAACATATCCGAGCTATAAAAAAATAAGGTGAACATTTAGTGCACATTAATCCATAACGTTATACATTTTTTATGCAAACAGAAATGTTGTTTTACCGTTTTTTGTGTTTATTGATTGTCTACTACAAAATTCTCTCCATTTTTCGGAAATAACAGGATCCTTTGGGAATCTGTAAGGGCCGTTTGCACGAACATTCGATTTAAGCATTCCTTAGCTAAGAAGTTTTTAACTTTAAGCAGTTCTTAAAGTACTTGGGTGTTGCACCAACGCATCTTAACGCTGACATAACAAAGCAATGCTTAGCTAGTGACTTTATTTGAAATAACAAATTCTGTTGGTAACAGACACAAAACTGACATTTGTTTAACCTAATTTATCGCAATAACCTAACTAATTCACGTGTAGTCTGTAGTGTTGTTCTTTATTTTATTACAAAAATGGATTTTGATGCGTTTGAGGACGACCTCGAAGTTCTTGAATTAATCGAAGTGGAAATACCGCGACAAATTTATTTAAGAGCCGATCATTTTCATGATCTGCCGGATCTTCAGTTTTTTCAAAGGTTTCGGTTAACCAAAGAAACAGTATTATATTTGTTAGCCCAAATAGAACATCATTTGGAATTTCCAAACGACAGGTACAGACATAACTAATAATAAAATTAAACCAAATCGAACGTAAACATAATTTGTATATTTATAGAAATGCAGCCGTGGCACCAATCAACCAATTGTTGACGACATTACGTCTATTTTCCACAGGAGGGCATCTTAGCAGCGTGGCAGATTATATGGGAATGCATTTGTCTACTGTGTCCCGTATTGTTAAGAAAGTGTCTGAAGCGATTGCAAGGTTGTATCCACAGATAATTAAAATGCCACGGACTCGGATGGAACTCCGACGAACTCAAAATAAATTTTTTGAAATCTCGCGATTTCCAAGGGTGATAGGTGCTATTGATGGCACTCACATAAAAATTGAATCTCCAGGTATAATATTCATATAGAAGTATCTATGTTAGGAGCTACCACTTATATGGTTGTTGGGTATGTTTAAGGTGTTGAACATGCAGAAGTCTTCCGCAACAGAAAAGACTATTTTTCCATAAATGTGCAAGCTATGTGCAATGCTGAAATGAAATTTATAAATGTTGTTGCTCGATGGCCTGGGTCTACCCATGACGCAACAATATTTAATAATTCTAACATAAGAAGAGATTTTGAACAGAGAATCTACCCAAATTGTATCATTTTAGGTAAGCTTTAGTCGTTATATAGATAATTGTGTAATTTCATTGCTTTGTTTTGGTATATAGGAGACAGTGGTTACCCTGTTCGTCGCTATTTTTTAACTCCAATGTTAAATCCACAAACACAAGGGGAGCAACTCTATAACGAAGCACACATTCGAACTCGCAATGTTATAGAAAGAAGATTTGGGGTGTGGAAAAGAAGATTTCCCATTCTAGCCTACGGATGTAGATTGAAACAAGATACTGTGCTAGCAGTAATAATTGCTTGTGCAGTCTTACATAATATTGCCCGGGAAAGGGGTGAAGAAGACCCTCCATTGCCAGCAGAAATCAACCAACATGAATTACAACAGTTGATTGAAGCTGGCAACATTCCAGAAGTTCCGGCAGCAATTAATGGTCGGGAGAGAAGGGGAGCAGGACACGAGTTTAGGAGGAGTTACATAACAAACTTTTTTAATAGGCAACATTAAATATTTTATTATCATAAATCTATATTAGTAAATTTTAGTTTTTTTAACTGTTCTTTTTTTATTGCTATGTCCAGTTCCATAGCTTCTTTCTTTAGGGCAAATTCTGTTTTCCTCCGTTCCGTCTCCTTTTTCCGTTCTTCGAGTTGAATTTTCATTTCTTCTAGTTGCACGTCCGCTAACTGCAATTTTTTCTTGGCCAACTCATCATACATTTTCGATATGTGGCTAGAATGCAATGCCTGTAGTGTAGGCCTCCTCCTCGAAGAAATTGTATGCAGTTGTTGAGATCTGGGTGTTTTTAAATGGCCAGTTTTATAATCGCCCCAGTCGAGTTTTTCGAGAACATTCTGTAATTAAATTTTGAGTAGGAATCATAAAGCAGCATAGAGAATAACTTACCGGATTTTGAACCGGACAAGAATCCAATTTTCGTTTGATTGGCGTTGACGCAAAATTGCCTGCATCAGTTGATATAGTCTAAAAAAATAAAGAAAGTAAAAATAAAATGCGTGTATACAAGGTACATACAACTTGGCCGGCATCTAACGATTTCATTCTTCTTGATGTTACTGGTAGTGGTACTGATTTTGAGATAAAAGATGGTATTGCCCTTGAAGTTGGTGGTTTCGCAAACTAAAATATTTAAAGAAAAATTATCGAAATAAACACTAAAATTTAGAACTAACATCTTCTGGGTTTACCTCCTCGCTGAATTCATATTCATCTTCATCTTCCTCATCATCTGGCAAAAGCTACAATTATAAACACATTTTAAACAAGCATGTAAAACAAAAAATTGTTAATCATACTTCCGATTCTCCAATGGTGTCTCCTCCAAAATTTGTTGGTAATCCATACACCGTCGTGGAATCCATTGCCGCTAAAGTTAACTCTAATTCTGGGCCACCATCCTGCGTTTCCGAAGGACCGCCTCCTGTTTTTCGAAAAACCATTCGATTTTCCGCCACAGTTTTCCTTGTCTCTTTTTTTTTTGTTGTTGTACCACTTTTGAAGTGATATCATCGACCTTAGCACCCCTGCTGGACATTGGGCATTAAATTCGTCAGTGAGTTCTTGCCAACACTGCTGTTTTTCTCTATTTGTTACGGCATCCGTCTTTTTATTTTCCAAAACGTGACGCCGATCAATAATTAAAGATAAAACAAGCGCCCTCTCATCTGCCGTAAAATTCGCGCCGCGTGTTCTTTTGTTGTTAGTATTCATCTAAAACATAATTAATAATTGATTGCTGTATTATATTTCTTATTAACTGGGTAATATTTTACCTTACCGTAACTTTTATTCAACACTATTATTACTCACAGCTCTCAAAAAACAAAACTAAACGAATATTAAAAAACACGTTATCACTATTCAGCCACAATGGCGAGAATGGTACCGAAATTTCGGATTCCCAGACAAACATTTCGGATTTTACTTTGGGGTCCAGGTAGCTACCGGATGTTGCAGATTGTTTTTAAAAGCGTGTATTTCAATTTTGTTATGATCGTTTCCATGACAACCACCCGATCTCGGCCACATTCGGTTCTGTTCGGTTTTTAAGAATTGCTAAACAAATTTAAGTCGCCGATGAACTGCTACTTATATTAAGGACTTCTTAGGGCGTTGTAAGCATTTGTTAAATGTTGGTGCAACGCATTTCTGCGCTTAAGAGCTGCTTAAATTTTAAGTAACGTTGGTGCAAACGGGCATAAAAGTGTTAAATCCCGGAACATTTTTTGGTTGTTACTACAACGCACCACAGAACAGTAAGCCATGATTCCAAACTTTCGATGAACGTGAAAGTGTAAAAACGACAATTGCGATTGCTACTATCGGCATCTATTGACACAAAAATGTTTCTGGCAGGTTGTGCAGACCGATGGTGAGCGAGGTGTCTTATTTGCAGCAACCTGTCTTCCTAATTCGGCGACTATATTTTAGTAGCAAACGACGCATCTGTTTCTTTTTGCGGTGTTTTCTAATTCGTGAATTTGGGACACACCTTGCGTAGAGCTTGGTCTCCCAAATTTAGCAAGTAAAGTCTGCACAAAAGTTTCCCTAAATTTTGTGATTGATATCCTCTCTTTTGTAATTTCAGTATACAGAACGTGTGCGTTGACAAAAGTTGTCCCCAGCTAACTCTACAGCTAGTTTCCTGTACCATTTTATACCAATCCGTAAGGACGTATTATAGGCTTTCTGTTGATCTAACAGATCAATGAAAGCTTTGCATTTATTAAAATCTACTATAAGTTCAGGCTTTTTTCTGTTGGGGTGTTTTCTCGATGGAACAGGAACCATTTTATCTGGATGTTTAGTGCTAACGGCTAGGTTGTGGAAAAGGCAAGTTTAGGCACGCTGATATTGGTAAGCGCGAAAACGGTGATGGCACGGCATTCGGCTTGAATAGTAAAAATAAACTGTAACAAGCCACGTGCAATGTTTTTTTTTTTGTAAATAGTACTGAAGACTCCAAAGTATCCGACTCTTTATTGAATTGCACGCGTTTTTTGCATTTTTTAACAGGAGGAGGAGCTTCTTACCGACTGCAGGCGGCTTCTGTCTAGACCTACTTCTTAGATAGAATTAAGGATTCTTCAAACTATGTTTACATTTTGTGCTGAAATTGCACACTTGTCTGTCGCAATCGAAATTATACTCTCTTTGGTTTTTCCGCAAATTCTTCTTATAGAAAAAGCAACATGTTTAAACCGTGGGTCTAAAAAAGTGGCCACTGAATATGTAGTATTTTTTCTATATTCCCCAGTCGATCATCTAACCCTTCCAATATGTTCAAAATTACGTTTTTGGTTCCATCTAAAAAAAATTCTTTTGAAAGAGTTGTTGTTGTTATCATTTGATAACCTATACAGTAATTTTCCCCACTCATACTCTGCGTGGCTGTTTCAAAATGTTGTAACACATTACATTGTCCACCCATAAACCCCAGTCAACATTTGTTAAAACCGGCCATTCTGTATTTATTAAAGCCATTGTGGCTTTTAATGCCTCTTCCAGTTCTTAAAATTGTTTCAGTATATAAAATGTTGAATTCCAACGTGTTACAACGTCTTGAAGTAATTTTAAAGGAACGTTGTCACCACTAATTTGATAGTTATTTAATTTTTGCGGTAGACAGGCTGCTGCAATTTTTCTAATTTTTCCAATAAGAAGTGCGACTTCGAGAAGCTGTTATATCTGCCTTCAAAATTAAATTAAGCCTGTGAGCTTAGCAACCGAAATGTTTTAATTTTAAACTATTAACAATTGCGTTTTCAATGTTATAAGCATTATCTGAATCTGCAATTAGAATTGTGTCTCTAATTTGCCATTTTCGTTTTAATTCACTACCTAAATTTGCAGATGTGTGTGACGCCTGCTCTGTTTTACAGTAAAACTGAAGTTGATTTAAAATTTGAATTTATAAAATGTACGGTCACTTCAATATAACTGCTATTTAAACTGGTCCAGCAGTCTGTGCTAATACAAAATTTAGGGCCTTGTTTTAAAATATCAGAAACTTTACCAATCACTCTTCATAGAGAGAAGGAATACATGTCTTAGGAATTAAGTTTCTACTGGGAAATTGATAAGCTGGGTTTAATGCACTGACAAGTTGTTTAAATAACCCCTCAGTGTACGAAGTGCAAGTCAGTACTAACAGTGGAACATATTCTACTCCACTGTACAACACTTCAACAGAACCGCATCCGGTGGTCACTGCCACCATTACTTACCGAAGTTCTGGGTGATCTCCCATCTGTAGAAAATCTTTTGCAGTTCCTCTCAACAGCGGGCCTTCTGCAGTTAATCTAAGGATTGATCATTGTATTATACTTATCTTGTATTGTACCGCCCTGTCACTAATAACCCTTCGTGGTTGATGTGACAATAAACATTTACTTAAAAAAAAAAAAAACCATAACCATCTACAACAGTAAATGGTTGAAAATCTAATATAAAAAGCAATAATAATTTCTTATCAATATTTTTTTTGTGTAATAGAAAATTTGTTTGATTCTAAGAACGTTGTCAATTTTTGTTGCTCAAATCTACCTCTATATTGATGAGACAGTTTCTGGATGTCACTGGAATATTCTCTGTTCGATAATCTTCACTACAACTAAGTGTAATATACATATTAAAACTTACTTACCGTTTTCAGTCTAAAACTTTTTGGTACGATAACTGTGGGGTGTTTGTTCTTCATATGCTTCGCATATCAAGATAAGTCAGGAGAATATCTTCTGTGACTTCTTCAATCCTTTTTTCGCTTTTCTACTGTTGAAAATTGAAGTAGGTTTTTTCGTAAATGCCTTGGAATTTAGCAGGCAACAATTTTTGTCGCAGTTCTTGGCCTTTTTTAATAATTTCAGGCGGAATACTCGTATTAAAAGAAATTTGTATTCTTGATAATATTCGGTTAGCGTTAGAAAAAATCTTGAAGACAACGCGAGTTTTATGGCCATAAAAAAAATCTCGTTCAATTACATTTTCGCTCCCTCCGGTCGCTCGAATTTAAACTACAGACTCGATTTTTAAACTATCTATAAAATTGTTGTTGTCTTAATAGCTATAATTCGCTTTTCTATAACCTAGCCCTTATAAGAGACAAATTTTACAACTCATTACCTCATCCAAAGACAGTTCGATTAAGGGAGGTCGAGGTTTCACAGAAGAAGCACTGAATGCTTTAAACATGAAAGTAAATGGATGTGTAGTTCAAAATAAAAAAATCCTTTGTAATCTAGTACTGGACGAAATGTCTATCAAGAAGTATATTGAATGGACTGGCTCCTGTTTTATGTGAATTTTGGTTGTGATTCTCTGCCACAAGCCAAAGAAGTCCTTGTCTTTATGCTTGTAGCGCTAAATGATTACTGGAAGATACCAGTCGGATATTTTTTTTTAGACGGGCTGAACAGCAGCGAAAAAAGTAATCTTGTACAATAGTGTCTGCACTGTCTACGTGAAGTGGATATAACCATTACTTCTTTAACATTCGATAGTGCACCGACGAACATTACCATGGCTAATATTCTCGGTGCTAATTTAGACGATCCAAAGAAACTTTCAACAAGATTTACCCATAACGTTACTGGAGGAAATTCTATGGGAATTTTTTGAAAAACTCGGTGATTTCCAAGTTACAGAAGAGTTGCACGCAGGAACTAAAAGTAAAAAAAACATACAATGGGCTCAAGAAAAAATGAAAGTTAAGATTGCTGCTCAAACTTTCAGCAATAGCGTAGCAGATGCGCTTATTTATTTAAGTGAAGATTTAAAAATTGAATATTTTAAAAATGCAAGAGCACAGCAGAGTTTTGTAAGATTATAAATAATCTTTTTCTACCGCCCACGTTTTTTGGTTTTCTAATAGAGCTATTAACGCACGCAAATGACGTCACAGCAGTTCGTTAATAGAGGAAAGGCGTTCTTTAATAGATCTGGTGTAATTTAGATCGGTAAGATTGGTAGCCACGACGAGAAATGTCAGGTGAATGTCAGTGGCAAATGTAAACTTAAAATTTCCCATGTTTACGGACGCGTAACTTCTTCGCAAGACATTTTAACCAATTTTAAATTACAAAAACTCGAATTGGTTCGAATTACAGTTGTTGTTGTGAAAATTCGAACCTCAAATATTTCGTGGTTAGTGTCAGACCAACCCATCACCAACCACGACAAAAGTCCCCAGATTAAAAAAAATGCAAATTTCAATTAAATTTTGGGAAAAAACGTGTGCGATAGAAAAAATAGTATAAATAACTCGTTCAGAAGGCCATTGAGGCACTCATCCTTTATATAACTCGCGGCTTCGCCGCTCGTTCTATAAACTTGGATTCGTGCCTCAATATTTGCCTTATGAAACTCGTTCTTTAATATACTATTTTGACATTTTCAATACGAGAAATTAAGCTGCTAAAACTATGTATTAAAAACCACTCCATCGCAGTAACTACTATCAAATAAATAATTATCTGCAATTTTGCCGAAATTATATTATTAATTTAAAATTAAAAGAAGAATTGTTGATTGCGACAAACAGAAAGAATGGATTTGTAGGATTTTTAATTTGTATAGAAAGTTTAATTGCTATGTACAAAGAATACATAGAAGCAGAACCACCTTTACTACGCTACATTTTGACGTATAAAATTTCGCAAGACCATCTCGAGACATTTTTTAGTGTGGTTAGACATAAAAGTGGTGCTAATAATAATCCGACGGCCCGGCAATTTCAGCCAGCCTATAAACAACTGTTGCCAGGGTCGCTTTACCGCATAGGCAGACTAGGGCACTAGGTGTGATGGCGATGGTGAAACGGTAAAGCAGGAATGGTTAACTTATAGTGGAACTACAGGGTCAGTTTATTGATATATTTGCAAATTATTATTCGCCAAAACAAAAACAGCCATTTCTCTATTGAATTAAAGACTGGAAAAACATAAACGCAAGATTATTGGAACTTGAGAATCTTCTAGCCACAAAAATGCTATGTGTTGCGCTTTGTTTCGTTCTAAAACAGAGGGCCGTATTGACGAAAAACTTTCCAGTCAAATGAATGCAGAAAAACAATATTGGAGAGATATTTTGAAACGAATTGTGGTAACGGTAAGATTTCTTGCAACTAACGGCTTGGCCTTTCGAGGTCATTCTTCAGATTGTGGAAATTATTACAATTGTTTGGAGTATCTCAGCGAATTTGATCCATTTTTGGCAAATCATTTGAAACAATACGGACATGCTGGAAAAGGTACTGCAAGTTACTTATCCCCATCGATTGCCGAAGAATTTATACAACTGATGGGAAAGCAAGTTAAATCATATATTTTACAGGAGGTAAAAGAATTAAAATATTTTGCGCTAATTGTTGATTCTACTCCTGACTTTTCGTATGAGGATCAGCTTGCTCTCATTTTGCGCATTGTAAAAGTTGATGGTCAGACCATTGAAAGATTTATAGGTATCATTTCATTAGATGATCACTCTAGCAAAAACCTCGAAGAAATTGTATTGGAAGCATTAAAAGAGATGGATATCGATATTAAATATTGCCGTGATCAAAGCTACGACAATGCATCAAACATGTCTGGTTGTTACAAGCTAGGATTAAACAGCATGCGGAAGAAGCTTTGTATACTCCATGCGCGAGCCCTTCTTTAAACTTGGTTTTCAATGAAACTGTTGACTGTTGTAGGGATTCGGCAAGTTATTTTGACCTGTTGCAAAAATTGTACAACTTTCTGTCTTCATCAACCAAAAGGTGCTCCACGATACTTTCGCTAAAAATAAAAAGCGATTAACTGTTAAGCGTCTGTCTGGCACTCGATGGTCTGCTAGGGCAGATGCTGTTGCAGCTGTAAAACATGGTTACAAAGAAATTATTGCTGTTCTTAGAAACATTGGTTCTGACACTGAAACGAAAGCTTTAACACGTGTTGAAGCTAATGCAATAGCATTTCAACTTGATAATTGGGAAACTGCCCTTCATACTGTTTCATGGAACATTTTGTTAGAAAGATTTAATACAACTTCAAAATATTTACAATCATCATCAATTTCTTTGAACACTACTGTAGACCAGTCCTTACGCAAGTTTCTTCAAAAATTCAGGAAATCTGGTTTTGAAGAAATTGAGAAGGAAGCACAAAAATTGACTGATTTCAGACATTTTGACAGCGAACTTAAAAGAATAAGAAAACAAAAAAAAATTGATGAAATTGGTGTTGACTATCATCAATTCAGTCAAGGGAAAAATACATTTCTTATAGAAACATTTTACCTAATTTGTGACTGCCTAATTGCTGAACTCAAAATACGTTCAAAAAGCTACCATGAACTCAATGGTTATTTTGGTATTCTTTTCAACTACTCCAAGATGAAGACAAATGAATTACATAATGCTGCAGATGAGTTACGGCAGAGATATAAAAAGGATCTAGACGAATCATTTGGGAGCGAGTTAGTACATTTTATACAGTTCATTTGTGAACAGGAGAACGCAAAAGATCCAAGTAGTATGTACAAGATTATAAAAGAATGTTCTCTCGAATCAACTTCCTTCGACCAACGCAAGCGGAGAAAGATCATTCTCGACTTTAAAGCGAATAAAAAATTATTTGCGCAGTACTATGGGTCAAAACCGCTTAAATGCCTTAACAATATTATCCATTGAAAAAGAGGTAACAAAAAGCCTTAGTTTTGAGGACATAATAACAGAATTTGCCCATAAGAAAGCTAGACGACACCACCTATAACCTAATTGTTGTAAGTTATTATTGTACTGCACAATATAATTCATGTAAAATATATATTTCATACAGTAATGTCCTAAAACAGATTTTTTTTCATATACTTTATAAGGAGGGGGGCCCGGATTTGCTACTTTGCCTAGGATCCGCCTTACGCAAAAAACACCGCTGACTATTGCTACGTTCTGAAATTAAAGGTGCAGATTCTGGCAATGCAATAGCCCTAGATAATATTTCAATTTTATATGCTAGCAGCAAATTAACTCTCAACGAAGAAGGGAATGACCTTCAAAATTCGGAAGAATTTTTGAATTTATCAAAAGAAATCGAGGATCATGGTTATATAACATCTTCAGCATGACATTTAACATGTTATATTACTGATGTAGCATATATAGCTGGCAGGGGTTCCGGGTGTCATTCACACCACTGGTTTTTACTATATAAAGGTTATTAGAAAACAGAATGCTAATGATTTCGCCAGTAGGCTGGATTATTTTACAAAATTGGAAACAATTATAAAAAATGTTATAGTATATTTACGGTATTATAAAGTACATATATTTCATTTATAAAGTGAATATACATTTACAATTGTGATTCTGTATAGTGTTTTTTCAGTTTGACGTGTGAAAATACACAGAGTTACATAAGTTTACTTAGTTTATACACATATTCTTCTAACATAGGTAAGTTTACGAAATCTAAGTAAAGAAATACATAAAAAGCAATAGTAAAATCATTTAAATTTACATGACTTTTTTCTGTCTGAAATTATCTTTACGCATTATCTTACCGCACACATCACACGAACTTTGTTTAAATGAAATCGTAAGTTTATGTCTGTTTAGTTCACTAGCGAAAGTATTGCACAAGTTTCACAGAGTTACATTATGATGAATATGTTGAGTTATCACTATTATCACTATTTTTCAGTTCAATAACTAATCATATTACACTTTTTCGGTATTTATTTATATACAGCCAGATACAAAAAGAGGTTACTCACGACCGTTTTGCACGTTT